AGTTCCTGGGATCACAGGTGTGCACCACCACGCCCACCTTCATTCTGATCATCTTTAAATCACCTCCCACCTGAAGGAGGTTTAGTTTGCTTCCAGACTTCTGCAGATACAAATGATGGTGCAGTTAGCTTCCTAGGTTGAAGGTATGTATTTTCAGCTTGAGAAAGTGCTGCTAAAACACTTTCCAAAGTGGCTGAACCAGTTTACACTCCAGCAGGGGATGGAAGTATGTCACCATTCATCTATCCTTCACTATTAATTTTAAAAAAATCACAATATCTTACAGTATTTTGGAAGGGCAAAATATTATGCAAGTTCGTGTTTTCCTTGCTAGAATGAGGGCAAATATCATTTCCCTGTCCTTTGATCTTTAAGTTTATTTTTCCTTGAATTGCTTGTTTATGCTCTGGCCCCTTTTCCAAATTGAGTTGTCCACTTTTTATCTCTTTATAAGAACTCTTTTTTATTTTTTTATTTTATTATTTTTTTGAGAATTTTTTAATATTTATTTCTTAGTTTTCGGTGGACACAACATCTTTGTTTGTATGTGGTGCTGAGGATCGAACCCGGGCCGCACGCATGCCAGGTGAGCGCGCTACTGCTTGAGCCACATCCCCAGCCCCAAGAAGAACTCTTTTTTAAATATTTATCTTTTAGTTATAGGTGGACATAATGTCTTTATTTTACTTTATGTGGTGCTGAGAATCAAACCCAGTGCCTCCCGCATGCTAGGCATGTGCTCTACCTCTAAGCCACAACCCAGCCCTGTAAGAACTCTTTTTATAGCCCAGATATCGAACTTTTATCAAGTATATATGTATGTGCACAAAGGATCAATATGTATACACACACATTAGAAGATCAAAAGTATATATACACACTGTATTAGTCAGTTCAGGCTGCTGTAACAAAATGTTATAGACTGGATTGCTTAACAGAAATTTATTTTCTCACAGTTCTAGACATAGCCTCTTCTTTGTGCATGAAATGAAAGAGCTGGTGAGCCACCTCTCTCGCGATTCTCATAAGGGCACTGGTCCTATAATATCAAGGCCCACCCTTATGATCTTGTTTATTCCTGACTCACTCATAAGAGAGCCTCCATCAACATGAGTTGATGGATATAGTTCAGCTCATTGCATACACATATAACAAATATTTTCTATTGCAGTTAGCTTTGGGGGTTTTGTTTTTGTTTGATACTGGGAATTGAACCCAGCGGCCCTTTACCACTTAGCCACATCCCCAACCCTTTTTTTTTTTTAAGTTATTTTGAGACAGGGTCTCACTGAGTTGCTTAAGGCCTCCCTAAGTTGCTGAGGCTGGCTTTGAACTTTGATCCTCTTCTCCAAAATGTACCAACTTAAGACTTTTTTTTTTTTTTTTTTTTTAGTACCAGGGGTTGAACCCAGGGGTACTTCACCATTGAACCACATCCTCAGCCTTTTTATTTTTTTATTTTGAGATAGGATCTCACTGAGTTGCTTAGGGCCTCACTAAGTTGCTGAGGCTGGCTTTGAACTTGCAATCCTGCCTCAGTCTTCTGAGTCACTGGGATTACAGGGGTGCACTACCACACCCAGCATCACTTAAGATTTTAAATTTTTGAGCGTACAATTCAGTAATACTAAGCACACCGAGATTGTCAAACAACCAATTTCCAGAACTCTTCCTCTTGCAAAACTGAAACTTAACTCCCATGAAACAACTCTCACTCTCCTGCCCCCCAGGGACATGGTACCATGGAAACAAACAATATTGCCTTCTCATGATTGGCTCATTTCACTAGCTTGGTGTCGTCAAGGTTCACTCATGTTGTATCATGTGTCAAAACTTCAGTACTGTTTTTAGGTTGAATGACATTCCATTGCCTGTACATACCACATTTTGTTTATCCATTCATTCATTCGTCAGTGGACACTCGAGTTACTTCCTCAATACTTTCTGGCTATTATGAATAAGAGCATACAAATATGTTATTCAAGACCATGTTTTAATTCTTTTGGAGAAGTGGAATTGCTGGATCATATGCTAGTTCTATTTTTAGCCTTTGAGGAACTGCCTAACTGTTTTCTATAGGGACTGCCCAATTTTATATTCCCACTAGCAATGCACGGAGGCTGTTTTCTACATATCCTGATCAAGACTTTTTCTTTTCTTTCTTCTAGCCATCCTAATAGGTATGAGATGATTTGGCTTTTTTTTTTGTTGTTGTTGTTGTTGTTTGTTTTTTGTGGTGCTGGGGATTGAACCCAGGGCTGCGTGCAAGGCAAGCACTCTACCAACTGAGCTACATCCCCAGCCGTGGCTTTGTTTTTTGTGCCACAGGCCAGCCAGTAGACAGAGAACAACTTGTAGTCAAGTTTAACTAACTAGACTTTAGTTAGGCAGCTTATGTCCACGTCTTGGTTTTGCCACAATCTAGCCATGCACCTCATGCAAATCCTCCCAGACCCCATTGCCTAATCTGTGAAATGGGTAGAACAGTCATGCTGCTCTTCTAGAGTTGTAATTTCAGTAAGATAAGGTGCTTAAAGGATTTAGCACAAGGCGATCTCAGATTTAGCAATCTTTTTTTAAAATGTTTTTTAGTTGCTGATGGACCTTTATTTTTATTCACTTATTTATATGCAGTGCTGAGAATTGAACCCAGTGCCTCAAACAAGCTAGGCAAGCTTTCTACCACTGAGCCACCACCCCAGCCCAGCAATCTTTTTTAATGTGTCTTTAAGAACCCAAAGTAAAAATCCTCCTCCTATCTTCCCCCTTCCACGTTCTTTCATAGCTTTGACTTTTGCCCCTAGGTGTGTAGATGAATTCAGATTTATTTTCTACATGATTTTCTAAGGGTAGTCCTTTGGTGACTAGTGCATCCTCACCACACACACACACACACACACACACACACACACTTCATCATCTCTTACTTTTGGCTTTAAGGGTCTGTTTCTGGCCCCTCCTCTCTGTCAACTGATCTATTCCTGAGCCAACCCCACTTCCTACAGCTTTGGAACAAGTAGTGCCAGCCCATTAGAGCAAGTCCCTTTTGTTCCTTTTCAACACTGGCTTGGCTCTTCTTACACACTCTCCTTTTCTAAATTCAGCCTGTTAGATAAAAAATAATGGTAACTGTGGTGGCCCAGTCTGGAATGCAAAATCCTAAGAAACTAACCTGGAGGAAAAGGTTTGTGTTTGACTCCTTTTATTCTTTTAAAGGGAAACTTCTGTCTCCCAGAATTCAATCTCTCCCTTCTCTCCTACTCCCAGGTAGGTCTGGGAGTTCTTTCCTCAAGGATCAGACCACAACCACTGCGGATAAAAGCTCTTATGATCCTACTTCCCCTGGATCAAAGAAGGCAACAAATTGCCAAGTGACATTTGAAAAAGAGCTGGACAATCGCTTTGGGGAGACCAGCCATTCAGGGAGGTGGCCTTGGTAACACAGCCTACAGTGTGCCAAGATAAGCCCCAGGCCTCTGGATTCTCCTCCAAGGACTCTGAAAACAGACATTTTCACGGGAAAAACTAGAGAGTTCCAGAATCACAAGCCCTTGGGTCTGGGGGTGCTTGGGTCTGGGGGTACTTGGGTCTGGCGGTACCAGCCCCACTGTACAGATGGAGCAAGTGAGTTTGGAGGCTGGAGCGGCAAACTTTGGTGGATCTGGTCTCTGCTCTCTCCCCAGAGCCGGGCAGGAGGATCAGGTGCTATCTGATAGTGGAAGGGAACGTACTGTCCTCGGGGCTCCATCCCCGCCCTGTGCACACCAGTGGTCAAGCCTCTGGATTTCACTTTTAACTGGAGGGTACCTTGGAGTGGGTCCCCATCTCTCCACATCCTTCCCCATTTTAAGAAGAGACCAGGGCTTGGTTCATGCTGTTCATCAGGTTTATTGTCACTCGCAGTGGGCAGCAGGTGAAGGGGACAACAGCCACACCCACCATGGCAGAGATGGCCCTGGGCCACTGGGCACTATTCACACACGAGTCACCCAGAGGGACACGTCCTCACTGGCAGCAGCTGCACTTCTCTGCCTCCGCCTCGGCGCCCTCACCACCCTTGCACACACAGTCCTTGGCACACTTCTCACATTCCGCAGGGCAGCAGGAGCAGCAGCCTGCGGACAAAATGGGGGTGCTCGTCTGATGTCTCCCATCTGTCCCCAGCAGAGGAAGGGGAGGGGGACAGGTGCTGGGAGGTGGGGAGTCATCCCCGTTTAGCCTGTGCTGGTGGCTGCCCACTTCCTTCTCTCACACCTGGCTCACAACGTGACTCAGCACCTATGGTGCCCCAGCTGCATACGGGGCTTCTATAGGAGTATTCCCGGCTCCCACCAGCTCATAGCTCCTTTGGTGGGTGCCAGTCATGCTGAGCTGAGGCCCAGGCTCAGAGAGGGCTAGGCCTTGAGGAGAAACCTTGCCAGGCAAATGGTCTTGGAAGAGGCCTTGCAGGATCAACTCAGAGGAGTTGGGATGGTGCAGTGTGGGGGGTCAGGAACTCCAAAGGGATCTGTGCCTGTTCTTGCACCCAGTGGAAGAAGTCAGCCTTCCTTCCCTCTCCTGTCCCCTCTATGAATTTCATACTGCTGAGGGGTGGGGAGGCCAAATTGAGGGGCATCCACAGGCCTGAGAGGGACCAAGGACTGGAACTTCCGAGCTAACCCCAGCTTGGCTCATGGCCTCCCCAGGCACCCGGGTTTTTGAAGGGCGGGCTCCATGACAGAGGTTGGACCAGAGGAGCTGTTCTCCACCCCCAGCTGCCCGCTGGAATCTTCTGGGAATTGGCAAAAAGGTCTCATCGCAACCCCACTGCATCAGTCTCTGGGCCTCTGTATTTTAACGTCTACCTGCAGGTTTGGACGCGGGGCCTAGGAGTCCCTCTGTATCCAGCCAGACGCGGGGGGGGGGGGGGGGGGGGGGGGGGAGGTGCGGGGGGGGGGGATGGCGGCGGGGGGTGCACTCACTCTTCTTGCAGTTGGTGCATTTGCATCCCTCGCACTTGCAGGAGTCGGTGCAGGTGCAGGAACCACCTAGAGTGGGTGACGCCACAGGAAGGGTTAATGCGGTAAAACCCTGGTGGCCCCGGGCCTAGGAGGAGATGGGCTGCCGGATCCCGTACTCTTCGCGACATGGGCATCCTCATCCTTCACGAGGTTCAAAATGGGAAATAAGGGGCCCCTCCCCCAAGTGTCCTTGAACGGAGCATGGGGCGTGGGATTCTTTGCCGGTAAAGGGGCGCGCTGTGCCGCAGGAGGGAGGCGGGGGCTCACCAGTAGGGCAGGGGCAGGTCTCAGGGTCCATGTCGAGGCAAGCAGCACTGGAGACGGTGACTTGGCTCCTCCAGTAAGTGGACGAACTGCGTGGCTAGTGGCAGCAGGTGGCAAGGCTTTTATAGCCCCGGGCGGGGGCGCGCATGCCAAGCCCGCTGGGCGCCCGCCCCTGCGCACAACGCCAGCTCTCGGTCTGTGCGCACGGGTCCCGGCGTACTGCGGCAAGTGTCCCCCTGTCCCCGCCGCGCGCGCTGCGGACGCTGTGCCCGGGTCGGCTCTCCCAGTACCCCGCCCTGCAGCCGAGTGCTCGGCGGCTCCCAGCCCTGGGAACCACCCGGGACGCGGCCGCGGCTGCAGCCACCGCCAGAGGAAGTGAGCACGTACCATCTCTGGAAGTGGAGGGAGGCAAAGATGTTTTGTGCATTTTCCAACCCTTTCTTGCCTTGTGCCCCCGATATCCTGGAATTTTGGCGCCAGTTTTATCCAAACTGGGTGCTGAGCTGGGGGCAGAAAGAGACCCATCACACTGAGCCTGACGTGCAGGGACAAGGGTCGTCTTCCATTCCGCCTCCATTCTGCCCAGCACCTTGAGATCTGTGACTCCTATTGCTCCGTTATACAAATTAGGAAAAGGAGGCCCGAAAGGAAGATCCTCTTAGGTCCCAGAATGAGCCTGAGATAGAACAAGGCCTAGAACTCAGAACTTAAGTACTCAGAGGGATTATTAGTGGGGGCTTGTCGCCATCACCCCTCCCCCATTCATCCAGGAAGGAGGTTTATCAAAGTCAGTGAAGACGCATAAGATTTTTCTATTTACAGAAGAAAGCCTAGGTACAACAATGCTTAGATAGGGGATTTAAATGCAAAGTGAGAAGAAGTTTATTTACATTGTAGGTAACAGGGACCCATTACCTTCTACTCCAAGTCCAGACCCAGATTCAGCTCTGGGGAATAACTCCCCCACTTCCTGGTTGCTGGAGTTCTGACATCATATGCCAAGGTCAGCGGTGGGACAAGGACCTTCCAAGGAAGCCTGCCAAGAGGATCCTTCACAGCTGAGCAGGGTAATGAGGGTGATCCCTGGAGAAGCAGAGTGAGAGAAAACTGCTCTTCAACAGGTAGGTCACCCAGGAGCCCCCACCCCTCCGAAGTTTGGGGTAGAGGAGAGAAGAAGGGGGCAGGGCTAGGAGAGGAACTCTGTTAAGGGCATTTTAAAATGCCATTGTGTGGTCCATAGTGTAACTGTCTCCTTAGTCCCTCTGAGACGGTGCTTGCCAACATTTTCACAGAGTTGGGGACAGAGTTGGGGGCCAGGGGAAATCGAGCATTATGATGGGCCCCAAAGAAAGGCTAGGGCCAGTTTTGGATGAAGAACCAGTCACAATGGGGAAATCAGCCCCAAGAAGAAAACATTTAAACCATACCCCTGGGTGAGGAAAGGGCAGGCCGCTGCCCTCCAGAGCCAAAAATTGAGTCAGAAACATTATGTTGAGAGTCAGGAGGCTGTGTGGGTGGAAATGTTATTTCTGACACTGATTTGCCATTCATGTCCTTGCTGGCAGTAAACTCAACAGGGAAAATGAAGACACTGGATACCCAGGAACCAGAGGAGCAAAGGAAAAGCAAGAGACAAGGGGTCACAGGCTGCAGAAATAGGAGGCTGGGCAGTGTGGCATTCCAGACATGGCGACCACATGGTGACTCCCGCAGGAAGCCCTCACTTTTCCCGCCTGTGGTGCAGGGGCCCTTCACATAATTGTCTTGGGGTTTATCTGAGGTACAAAGCTTGCTTAGGAAGGGAGTAAAAAAAAAAAAAAAAAACAAGATAATTCCAGGTGCCTGCCGTACAGTGTTTGAAAACTGGAGACCAGAAGGGTCAGGATCCTTAGGTGGCTGGAACATCCATTGCCTTCCCCAGAGTGGAAGTACCTCCACGTGTCCTCTCAAAGGCTCTCAAAACCTCTCTCACCATTACTTTCACTTCCTTTTAAAGAGACATCCCCTGGGCACCCCATCTCTCCCTCTTTGGAGGGGTTCTCAAACTGCTCCCCAAGGAAGGTTTCAGAGTTTGGTTTTACAGAGAAGGGGATACTGGGAATCTACAGAGAGACTTAGCATGGCTCCGACTGTCCCTATGCAAAGCCGAGCCTCGGTTCCCAACAGGAGCTGGGCAAGTTCTATGAACTCTTAGCTTGAAACCCTTCTCCCCCAATGTTAGTGGCCATAGGTCTCCAAACAGCCTCCATAGAGGGGCCGAGCTAGCTAGTTTCCCCAAACCGTTCTTTGCAGGACCACCATGTAATGGTCCATGAGGCAAAGTTTCAGTGAAGTGGAAGGAGGAGAAAATAAAACATGAGAAGAACAAGGAGGGGGATATAGAGGAGGCAGAGGAAGAGATGAGGTCATTTAACATCTCTTGAACTTGAAGCCCAAGGTGGTTGGTGGTTCTCAGCCACCAACTCTAGCACCAAATTTGTGTCTGTTCATTTGTTTTCATTTTTTAAAAGTATTTTTTTTTTAGTGTCAATGGACATTTATTTATTTATTTAAAGTGGTGCTGAGGATGGAACCCAGAACCTCACCCACGCTAGGCAAGGGTTCTACCCCTGAGCCACAACCGCAGCCCTGCTTTCATTCTTCCTCTGGCCTCCTATTGCCCTTCCTAGGCCCTGACCCTTGGGTTTCTGTATCCAGGCACCTCTCTTCGTTCCCTGGCCTCTCAGGTTTCTGAGCTGGAATGCTGACATATTGAGAAAGACAACATCCCCTCATTCTCGGGCCCTTTGCCCCTCAGGCCTCAACCTCTGTGACCTCTGAGAGGCCTTTCATGTAGATGTGTTGCTCCAGGGGTCCCCTCACTGCCCCCCTTAATTCCCCTTGCACCCCTTGAGCCCATTTCCACAATGTGAAATCTCGTCGTCCAAATCCCTGTGCCTGTGCTTTTCCACCCCCAAACATCCAGGCAACTCCCGGATTCACTTCTTTCTTAGCTGCTTGTCCTGGCCCCAATCTTGCTTTCCCTGTGAAGCCCACCATGATCAGCCTATTTAAAATTATAGCAGGGCCTTGTGGATGCTACAGCCTAAACATGGACGCCTGAGGCACTTACGGATCTGAAGGCCCAAAGATGGACGTGTACCTGAGGAACTTCCGGATCTGGGGGCCTAAACATGGGCGCCTGAGGATCTTCCGAATCCTAGAGTCTCAACATGGATGTGCACTAAAGGAACTTCCGGATCCTAGAGCCTAAACATGGACGTGCAACTGAGGAAATTCCGGATCCAGGGGCCTAAACATGGATGCCTGAGTCATTTCTGGATCTCAGAGCCTAAACATGGATGCCTAAGGAACTTCCGGACCCCGGGGGCTTAAACATGGACCTGCACCTGATGAACTTCCAGATCCGTGGGCCTAAATATGGATGCCTGAGGAACTTCCGGATCCTAGAGCCTAAACATGGATCTGCACCTGAGGCACTTCCAGATGCTACGGCCTAAACATGGATGTACACCCGAGGAACTTCCAAATCCGGGGGCCTAAATATGGAAGTGCACCCATCGAATTTCCGGATCCTGGGGCTTAAACATGGACGTGCGCCTGAGGAACTTCTAGTTCCGGGGGCCTAAACATGGATGCCTGAGGAACTTCCGGATCCGGGGGCTTAAACATGGATGTGCACCCGAGGAACTTCCTGATCCGTAGGCCTAAATATGGACACCTGAGGAACTTCCGGATCCTAGAGCCTAAACATGGACCTGCACCTGAGGCACTTCCGGATGCTAAGGCCTAAACATGGACGTGAACCTGAGGAACTTCTGGATCCGGGGGCCTAAACATGGATGCCTGAGGAACTTCCGGATCCGAGGGCCTAAACGTGGACGTGTCCCTGGAACTTCTGGGTCCTTGTGCCTATAAAGGGTAGGGCATGACTCTCAGAAGGGATGTGGCCCATGAAGGGGAGCCGAGTATGGGGCCTGTTGAGAGGCAGACTGAGTTGTTGCACCCTGAACTTGAATGTGACGCTGGCCTCATTTCCCGGCCTTCTCCTGGGTGTCACTTCCTCCCCTTCCAGGTGGTGCTGGCGAGGAAGTGAGACCAGGCGCAGGGGCCAGGCCCTGAGGAGGGACACTGTCTTTCTCCTCGCTTAGCCAGGCGCCCAGCCTGGCTGGGGAAGGGGACATCTTGTGACACTGGCTGCCTCCTGCATCCCTGCCCCAGGACCTCAGGGACCACAGGCGGGGACAGTTGTTGATTCTCCCCTGGTCGCTGACCCTCAGCCCTGGGGTCTGCCCAGGGACAACTCTGTCTCCCAGAGGGTCAGGGGGCCCCTGTGACCTGCTGCTCCTTACCCACCGTCATCCTGGTCAGGACACCAGATGCTACTGAGAGTGACATCACCTAGATGGGCGGCTAGGGACTTTGCCTCTGTCCCCAGGCCTTGGACACCGGATGATCCCCCCCAGAGACAGAAAATGACCCCACACTGCCCAAGACTTATTTTTAAGCTTTGGATTCTGAAATTTTCCTGCTGCCACCTTCTTTGTGAAGCCAATTTTTCAATAGAGACAATATTCCAGGGGGAGGGGCTGGGGTTGTGGCTCAGCGGTAGAGTGTTCGCCTAGCATGGGCAAGGTCCTGGGTTGGATCCTCAGCACCACATAAAAATAAAGATATTGTATCCAACTACAACTAAAAAATAGATATTGAAAAAAAAAGTATTCCAGGGGGAAAAAAACCAAAACAAAACATGGAGTCAATCAAACCAAGCTGACATATCTGGACCTCCAAGAGAAATCTGGATTAGAGGGAGAACAGCCATTCTCAACTGGTGAAATAATGAAGTTCCCTTGTCCTTATTTTGTGTAAGCAAAATAAATAATCTGATGTTAATTATCAAATTATTTTTGATGAGTGCTTGGCTCATAGGAAAACTGATTCTGTTTTATGGGAAGAAGTGTTACCTGATTTTAAAATTTAAAATGAAGCCAATTAGGATCGTTAAATTACACTGTCATAATTCTGTTCTTTGATAGCAGAAATAAATAAATAAATAAATATAAAAAATAAAATTATAACAGGGCCTCAACTTCCAGGTACTCCTGATCCTCTTTACTTTGCTTAATCTTTCTCTTTTTTTAAAATAGCATTTAACATCTTCTAATAAATTAAATGACTTATTTATCTGAAATGCTTCCAATTGCCTGTCTCCTTCTGCTAGAACTTTTGCAGATGACTGCAGGACCATTGTTGATGTTCACTGACGTACTGAAGTGCCTGTAAGAGTGCCTGGGATACAGGATACACTTAGTAAATGAGTGATGGATGAACGAACGAATGAATGAATGAAGATATCATGCCGGCTGAGTTCACACGGGGACTCTACCACGTACTGCTGCAGTCTGGCTGGGCACAATTCATGAGCCACTTGTCAAGCAGAAACAAACTTTATTTTTAGAACACACACACCACACCACATGAGCTCTTCAGGAATTCCCTCAGAGCCCAACTGCCACCACCCGCTTCTAGGGAGCTTCTCAACCCCCACTCCTCCTGCTCTTGAGGCCGATTGGCTGGGTCATGTGGGTGGAGCCAAAAGAGTCCCCCAATGAGCAGCTCCGTGGTCTGAAAGGGTGGGGAAACAGCCCAATGAGCATCACCACAGAGGAGCCAATCAGCTGGCAGCTGGAAGTTTGCTGGGGCCACTATGAGCCAATCAGCTGGAAGTTTGCTGGGGCCCCTTCTGCTGTGGCTCTCAACAATGTACTAGTAAATGACTACCAAGTTACTTAATGTATTTGTGCCTTGGGTCACTTCAGGGGAAAATGGGAATACTGTTAGTTCCTATTTCATAGATTTGTCAGGGGTTTAAATGGGATGGCACTTGGAAAACACAATGGGGCCTTTAGCCACTTTGGCTCTCATCTTTTCTACATGAGGAAGCCAGGTGAGGACCTGCAGGGAGCCTTGGCTCTCAGAGCTCCTGGGTGACACTCAGCCTCACAGTCAGCCTCAGCTCTGAGTTTCCCTAAACATAGTAGCCTCCACTTGATGGCAGTATTGTGGGTGTCAGCTTGGGCCACCTGAGTCACACATTATTCTCAGGCTTTGTGGGAGAAGGTTGTTCACTGAGACTTGTATCTTTTCACTTAGATTGGGGCCAATGGGCAGGACCTAGTAGCTGCAGGGTGGAGATCACTCAGGGTCACACCAACCAAGGGGTGGAAAATCCCCAGATGATCTCAGAAAAAAGCTAAGAGCCCAGCAAGTCCCACACCTAGTTGAAATTAATCCAGTGCAGGATTCTTTCTCAAAGAATTTCCCAATTTACTATCCTGGGACTGAACAGTTGGCCAGGATTTTAGGAACCCAGGTAAACAATGGAATGCAAAAAGGAATTGGCAAATATGCTTATCTGCAAATAAAGTCTTAGAGTACTCTCCAATGAATAAATGTTTAACGAGCAATTTTGTCCACAGATGAAACTGGAGAAGGGGCACTGGTCCAGCAGGCTCATGGTTTCTAGCTCCAACTTGCCTAGAAATAATTTTGTGGACTGTCCCTAGTTTGTACTCAAGTTTCACATGGGTTGACCAAATGACTGTTAGTGGCTTCACTTGCTGGTGTTAAACCACAACGCAAAGAAAAGACCACAGGCTCCACTTTTGAATAAATTAAAGCAAGCTTATATTTGTGTACACAGGAGCTGGCCAGGACTGTCTCTCCCAAAACCCCGGGCTGGAGATCAGCACCCCAGCTCTCTAGGAACACGGTTGTATAGCACAAAAAGTTGCAAAGGGGGGTGTCTTGAGAACTTACAGATAACAGGATTTTGATAAGCATAATACAAAGGCAGATAATAGCTTTACGATCTACATGGCTTGACATTTCAAGGTAAGAAATAAACTCAGATTCCAACATCAGAATTTATGAGGCGCCACTGAGGTTTCAGAGAGGGTTGTTATCTGGTCAGGGGGAGCCAGGCATGGGTGAGTTCAAGGCACAGGCAGGAATTCCAAACAAGTTTAGAAATCACAGAAATTTATAGTAAAACAGAAATTAACTTTTCATGACTCTGTGACAAGATGGCTCCCAATCTTCAGATGGAATTAGGCTGGGTTCATCAGCTGGGGGTTTACTGTGCACCGGGCGCCATATTGAACATCATGTGAAGCTAAGAATTTCACATATTATTTCATTGACTTACATTAGCTATTACCCTTTCATATTTTTATTGGTGCACTATAATTATACAGAATAGTGAGATTGGTTGTTACATATTCGTACATGCACAGGATGTAAACGTTAGGCATTGTTAATACCATTTTTGTAGGAAAGGAAACTGAGGCTCAGGGAGATTAAGTGACTATCCAGGCATCAGACCCAGAACTTGACTCTAAGTACCACGGTATTCAGCCCACCCCAATATCTTTAATTCAATTCACCACGAATTCCAGTTTTTAGGCATGCTATGCACTGGCTCTCAGACAGTTGATTATACTTTGATACTTTATGTGCCAACTTCATGGAATCACAGAACTTTCCATATGCAACTAGAAAAGTCCACTCCCATGGTAGGCCCACAGTCCCTGGAAATGCACCACTCAGACCCTCTGTGACCTGCCATAACCCTGAGACAACCCATAGCTTGGCCCATGATACTATGTGTGATCTCCCACATCAAAGGGTGTCAGAACTTTGACCTCACACTCCCCTGTGTGGATAAACCATCCACTCCAAGCAGACCAAGCCTATCTTTCCAATGTGACAGGGAGCCCACTCTCATCTGCAGGAGACTAAGTCTCTGAATCGGAAGCAGTCATTGTGAGTGGTAATAACGAGCGAGGTTCTGGGTGCCTAAATTCTAGCCTTTCCTAAATTGACTTCCCAAGGTCACCAGATTACTGATTCCTCAGATCAATTTTCCCTTGATCTGGTAAATGCCCATCACTCCCTGTCCTATCCTGGTCCCACTTACCCCAGAGTTTGAGCGGTGATCCAGAGTCTCCTTTCTGAAAACGTCCTTATTTTAACAGACAAGGAAACCAGAGACCACATGGGTCTGGGCCAAAGTCACATAGCAAGGTTGTAATGAAGCTAGAATTTGAATCATGTCTCCTGACTTCAAGTCACATCCCACTGGTCTAACTTTCCGGAGTGAGATGGTTTTAATAAATCAATCTTGAATCACATAACAACATGGTGATTCTCCTTTCGGTTCCCTGTCAACCTTCCTGATTATCTCAAGGAGACTCAGCTTGGTGCTAAGATGTCTTCAGTGCAGTCTCCCATGCTGCTCCCCCACCCCCTTTATTTTTGAAAGAGAGGGCAGAGGAGTCAGGGAAAGGACAGGGGAGGGAGCCACAGAAGGCCTTGGTACCTGGCTACAACTGTTATGGGTTTGCTATATTTATATTTTCTCTGTATTTATCTCCATGGTTACCTCCTGTTCATGGCAAAGGACCCCGTGTCTCCCCAACAATAGTGATACAAGATTTCCTTTTAAAATAAATTTCAGGATAATACTAGACCAGTTGATATGTAATCATGACTAAAATTAGGTGGTTCTCAAGGACAGCAATCAGGGGAACACTGCCCTCCACCAGGCCGGTGCCCTGAGCACACAGATCCATTCTGGCTGCCAGTTCTCTTTCCACTCCCTCCCTGCGTCCCCCCAGCCAGGTGCCACTGTGCCGATGCTAAGGCCACAGGAGATTCTGCTCCAGTTTGGTCCTGGGTGGGATGGGGTGCACTGGGGGAAGGGAGTCAGGGAAAGCTGCCTCCATCTGCAGGAGTGCCTAAGGTGGCCGGGTTCCTGATGTTTGCCCCTGACCCTAACCTCTGCAACACAGGCGCTCCCTAAGTCCCTGAACCACCTTCTAATGTAATAGGGACAGAGGTCACCTTGTGATTTTGGCCAAGACTCATGCTGTCTCTGGTTTCCTCATCTGATGGCTGATGGTGCCCCTGGCACGGTGCTCAGGAGCCTTAGGATCACTGCTGAAACCCCGGGGTGAGCAAGGCAAGGACAGGACACGGAGGGGCAGGCACTGGGCCAACTCAAGAATAAGAGCACAGAAGCATCCACAATGCAGTGATAACTGGAAGGCTGTACCGCCAAGCCCAGGCTCCTGTCGGCCCGTCTCACTGGTGGATTGTGCTCTGTGAACATGGTAATGACTGTATCACTGTCGAGGCTGATTTTAGTTCTTTTGAATAAATACGGGGCAGGGGATGGCTGGGTGATATGGATATGGTGGTTCCATTCCTGCTTTCCCAAGAGGATGTACTAATTTGCAGCCCCACCAACAATGTATGAGTGAACCTTTCCCTCCACATTCTTGCCAACATTTATTATTACTCATATTCTTAAAAATCACCATTTTGACTACAGTGAAATGGAATCTTAGTGTAATTTTGATTGGCATTTCCCTGATTGCTAGACATAGTAATCATTTTTTTAAATGTATTTGTTGGCCATTTGTGTTTCTTCTTTTGAGAAATGTCTGTTTCATTCTTTTGCTCGTTTATTGATTGGGTTATTTGCTTTGGGGACACCGCGTTTTTTGACTCCTTTTTATATTCTGGATTTAACCCTGTCAGAGGGAGCAGCTGGCTAGGATTTCCTCCCATTCTGCGGTATCTTTCCACTCTCTCCATCGTTTCCTTTGCTGTGTAAGAGCTTTGTAACTGGATGCCATTCCACTTACTGATTCTTGGTTTTATTTCTGAGCTTTAGGGGTCTTGTGGAGGAAGTCAGTGCCTGCGCCAATGTGTCAGAGTGTTGGCTTTATGTTTTCTTATAGCAATTGCAAGGTTTCTGGTCTAATTCCTAAATCTTTGGTACATTTTTATTTGATTTTTGTGCAAAGATGCGGGGATCTCATTTCATTCTTCTCCATGTAGATATCCAGTTTTCCCAAAACCATTTGTTAAAAAGGCTGTCTTTTCTCCGACATACATTTTTGGCACTTTTGTGAAGCATCAAATGGTTGTAAGTGTGTGCCTGAAGACTGACATTCTTAAAAAGCAATGACTTTGGTGTCAGACAGAGCAGAGTTTGATTCTCCCCAGTTTTTTCTCAGTTATTCTATGGTGATATTAATATATTTAACTCTTGGGTTATGATTAACATCAAGGAA